GACAATTTCAGGTATTCTGGATATGTACCTTTTGACAAAGGATGATACGTTTTTAACATGTCATCTTCGATTGATCCCAAAGTCTTTAACAAAGAATAGTCGTGCTCATGAGTTTTAAGAATTGATTTAATCCTGCTGCAAATAGGTTCTTCGAAAATTTCATAAATTGCAACCAAATTTCCATAACAAACAGCTTGTAAATTAGCATTATTGTTATAGAAAGACTCAATCAAACTATCAAATTCATTTCGTCCAATCACTTGACCTTTGGGAGTTAGAAACCCGTCATTTTTATTAATATACATCATCATGCCTTCTAAGCTTTTTGAGATGTTTCTGAAATTATCAATAGTTGTCCATTCTATCTTATCATTTTTAATATTATCTATTTCAGCATAATCTATTTCAGTGTAATTGAATAACTTATGGCCTAATATAACTCGTTGAGCAACGAAGTTTCCAAAAATTGCAAAGACATTCTTCAACTTTAAATAAGGGTCCGTTCCATTAATGGCTCTATCTACTGCATTCTTGAATTCTTTTGATGGTTTAATAAATTCTTTTCTCATATGTAACTCAATTCTTTGATTTACAACGGTAAAACAAATGTTTCCTTTATTTAAATATTGGTCATCGTACTTGAGTAATGTTTGTAATTCTGATGGCAAATCTTCTATACGGGATACATCAACTTGATTAATAATAATGAAAAAATCATTTATTCTTTTAGTAGCTAAAAGTTCCGCCACGAAACTATCGGAATTATTCGATATTGAAAACTTAACAGGTTGAATGAAGTCAAATGATTGATGGTTTCCAAATTTCACACCTTCTCTGGTAAAGCTTAATCCGTAATCCAATTTATAAATATCAATATTTTGTTTCACATGGTCAACTTCTTCATAATTATGTAGAGAGGCAGAAGATGGTCAAGTATAATTTTTTGGTCACGAGAAAGTGAAGCATTTGATGCTTCAATAGAGGAAAGTTTGGAGGCTGTAATAAATAATATTTAAATAAGTAAATTATTATTATATCCCTGTTATATCGAACAAACTTACATGATTTGTCAGACAAAACACGTATCACATCATTTTTAAGAATGTCTCCTAATGTAATAGACTTTTCAGACAAAACACGTATCACATCATTTTTAAGAATGTCTCCTAATGTAATAGACTTTTCAAATTCTAAACAAACTTCTTGAAGATTCTCTTTTTTCGAATCTTCTCTTAAAAAGATAAAATTTGGCGATACAATTTTTTTCTCAATTAACTCATCACGGATGTCAGACAAGTTACTGTTAAGTTTGTTAATAGAGGCGAATTTTTTAATCCTTTTTCCGTCGTATATTGTAATTAACAATTTTCGTTCCACATAAAGTTCATTCTCCTTGCTGATGATATCAGATATTTTTATGTCTGAGCTAAGCAATTTGTCTCTCGGACCAAGTTTTATCTTACCAACTTCTTCATTATTGAAAATAAAGAAAAGCTTATATCTAGAATCATCAGAGTCGAGTTTTATTATTTGATCATAGGCTTCAGAAAGAGTTTGGCAATCTAATGTTATTTCGCCATACGACTTTTCGTTAACTATTAGTTTCACCATGTTTTTTTTTCCTGTCTTTAATAATAGAAGGCTAAATATTTAGGACAAGAAAAAAATTGTTACGCACGTACGTACGTGCATGTGTACTTAAATGTACAGCGTTCACCACTGTTCCAAATTTAGTTATATCAAAAAAAAATCTTGAGACAGAAATACATACCGATACGTAACTGTACAGTCAACATTTCCCAAAATAAATATCGTACTCCGAATCACAATATAAATCGAGCTTTTGTAACGTTTTTCGTTCCCACTTAGTTCCCACTTATTTAATTACTATGGAGAATCTCGAGAAAGCAAGTGTAAAAATTAACGATGATTCTCCTGTTGAAATGTTGTTAAATGGCAATTTAACACTTTCTAAAGCCCATAGCTTAATAATAAGAATGCTAGACCCTAGTTTTAATGATCCAAGATATAAATTTTCTTTTAAATTTCTTAACGTTGATATTTTAGATATGCAGGGTTTAACACTATCAAATATTATTAGCCAGAATTTAATTGATATGAAGAGGGAATTATATATCAAGGTTACAATCGATGGGAGTCTATCAAAGTATTACGACTTAGGCAGTCTTGATGATAATTTGTTTAACATCAGACAAAAATTACATTACGAACCAATTATACCATCATCTTTTAAATTCTTAATAGGCGAACGTCTAATATCAGAAACGGAAGAAAAGAATCATGGATTAAGGGAGACTCTTGGTGACACTGATGAATTGTTTATTTATTCCACTGACAAAAATTCCAATAAAAGTGTCACTATTTGCAAATATTTGCAATCGGGTGAGATCAAAAAATATATAGAATATCTGCCGACGGCAGAGACACTTACCCAGATAAGGACACTTCTTAACATGGGACCAAATTTTATTTTTCGTGATGGAGATAAAAAAATTAATCGATCCTCAGAAGCATCTATTGGTTGGATAAACATAGCCTGGATCGAAAATGAAAAACTTCAGCTAAAAATTTATCAAGACAGTGATCAAGAGTGGAATGAATTAGTTAGACAGTGTGATATGGGATTCACATTTAAAGCTGGTCGAGTCCAATTAGCGAAATCCCAATCATTTACAATTGATATAACAAAAATTAAACCAGACGAAAAAAATCTTTATTCTGGAAATGCAATATTTACACGCGAACAGAAAATTGATAAATCATTTAAGGAACAACTAACTTTTAATGGCGGAATAGCACCATCTTTACCTTTGTCCTACCTGCCATATTTTTCCCTACTTGCTAATGCATCAAACGAATCTAGTGAATCTCACAATGTAACAACCAAATATTCAAGTACTGTCATAAGCAAGGCCAAGTTAAGTCT